CAAGGTATTTTGCAAGGCTGCTGCAAAATATCATCTCATCGCATTGCCACCATGATCCTGTGAGCAGTTACCATAATCTCCATTTTTATCGTGAGGAAGTGAGACTTAGAGAGATTAGATAACTTGCCCAGGTCCCAAAGTCAAGCTGGCTACTCTCTGAGCTCATGGCTAGACACTTGGACTTCACTCTCCAGGAATCTCATGCAGTCCATGGATTTACATTCCATTTATACATGGCTTACTGCCAAGATCTTAGGGATCATTCTGAAGTGTGAATCATATCATGTTATCTTCTTACTTAGAACATCGCAAAGGCTTCCAAATGCCTCCACCAAGCCTTACCATCACTCACAAGATGCAGGTGGCCAGGCCATTGGCTTCCTCTCCAATCACATCTTCCTCTACCTCCACCCCACCATGCTTCTACACTCCAATAACACTGACCTTCTTCCCATGATCCAAACACATTCTCTCCTCCAGTTTCCATTTTATTTCTTTAATATCTCAGCTAAATACTCCAACTGCTTTTTTCTCCATAAAATTGATCAGTACCAGAAAGTATCTTATTTGTTTGTGTTTATTCTCTATATGCTTCACTCAAACATAAGTTCCATGAGAACAGAAACTTTGTCTCTAAGAATAGTGAGCAGCACAGAGTCGAAAATCACTCTACACTGGGAGTTTTCCTACCTCAGATTGTTTGTATACGTGTTCCCTCTGCTGGAATACTTCATCTTTGCTTAATCATAAAGCCACTTCCTTCACAGTTTTTACTGATATCTGTAATTATGGATGGGTGATGGTTCTATGATTTGCATGTGGCTCTTCCACTAGACATAAAGAACTACAAGAAAGGAGCCATGTCTGTTTTATTCCATAAAGAATCTGCTGAGCCTATATCAAAGAGCCTGGCATGTAGTAGATGTTCAATAAAATGATATAAATAAATGAGTGAGAACACAGGAGGCAGGTTCATGGGCCAGTGTGGAGACAGCCTCCCAACAACCTTACAGGAAGTCACAAATTGCAGCTGCCATTGTCTGGGTGGAGAGTCCATATCAGGCAGGACAGTTGTAGAAGGATGAAAGTCAGATTTCCCACAGAGTAGCAGAGATGAAGGAGGGCAAATGGACCGAGAAGGTGTGTCATTAATATGATGACAGTTACCTGTGCAATAATTTGCAGGATTTCCATGTGTGGAAAGAGACCAAAATAGAAGGCCAGAAGCAACAGATACAAAGACAATGAAAGAAGAGATAGAAAGGGATGTCCAACTAAAGAGGCATGGAACTAAGGAAGGTCAAATGTCAGAGAAGAGATGGAGAGAACAAAATGAAGTGAAAGCATCTTGGTTCAACATCTGTAAAAAGATTATGCCTTATTAGAGTGGAGTGGAGTCGTAAAGAACTTCAAAGGCCCCAAAACAATCAACTTACAGTAACTAAATCATCACACAGCTTTTTCTACTGGGATTTTTCAACCACATGAGAAACCTCTCAACTTTGCTTCAAGTGTGTTAGCTGCTACTGTCTGGCAGATTGCCTCTTCAGTCACTGTCCTTCTTTCTTGATAATAGCCATACTCTCAGCCAAAAAACAAATTGCATTTCCTAAGCTCCTTTGCCAGGGAGTGGCCAATGCCATGGAAGGCAAAGCATCCAGGTGGAAATTCCAGGGGAGCTACTTCAACATAAGCTGAATCAAATCAGAGATTAGACCTGTTGCTCCTCCTTACCCCTTTCTCATTCTTTCTGTCTGGAGTGATAGCTGGAGCTCCACTATGAGGCAGCCTTGAGCATGGAAACTAAGTGCTAAGGAAGGTTAGGTAGGATAGAAGGAGTCTGGACTGCTGATGTTTGGAGTCACTCATTTTGCCCTGGACTTGGTTTATGTGCATTAAAATGAAAGCCTTCCATGTTGAGTGACTCTTTTTTTCATATATGCAGCCATACCTGATTCCAACGGATACATAAAGCAAATAAAATTTGGCATATATGCCATTCTTGATGCAAGATCACTTTCAGAGCAGTGAACTAGGACAATCAAATAGACTCCTTGTTGTTTGACTTTCAGCAAGAACCTTAATATCTAAGCTGAGCCTCTGTTTCTTCCTCTGTAAATTATGGCTAATAATTCCCTCACAGGGTATTTGTAAGGATTAGAATGCAGCTTGCACAAATCCATAGCTCAATAGTTATTGTAAGTGTACAGATTTTCATTTATTAGAAATAAGTTGATGTTCATTTATTCAGTAAGTATTTTAAACACCTATTTTGATGCAGAGCAGACAGAATAGCAGACAATCCCGATAGTTAGGGCACATTAGCTGATTGGTCTAGGCCCGTGGTCGGCAAACTGCGGCTCGTGAGCCACATGCGGCTCTTTGGCCCCTTGAGTGTGGCTCTTCTACAAAATACCACGTGCGGGCACGCACGTACAGTGTGATTGAAACTTCGTGGCCCATGCACAGAAGTCAGTATTTTGTGGAAGAGCCAGTATTTTATGGAAGAGTCACACTCAAGGGGCCAAAGAGCTGCATGTAGCTCGCGAGCCGCGGTTTGCTGAGCCGCAGTTTGCCGACCACTGTAGGCCAATCATAGATATTTTGAGAGTCGCCATTGGCAGTTGTTAGGTTGAGAAGAAAGAAGCAAGTAGCCAAAACATAGTGAACTGCAGACAGTGCCTCTGGCCCCACTTCTTGACACCTTCACTCACTGTGACTCTTGCTTATGTTCCCGACTCACTGATTTCAGCTTCCTTTGGTGTTCACTCAAAACTGGGATTTTACATCCTTGGCATTATTGGTGCTTTGGAACCGATAATTCTTTGTTGGGGAAGACTGTCTTGTGCATTGTAGGATGTTTGGCAGCATCTCTGACCCATCCCCATTAGATGCCAGAAGTACCTGTCCCCCTTCCCAAATCAGGACAATAAAATATGTCTGGAGACATTCCCCTGGTGGAAAACTCACCTCCACTGAGAATCAGCACAAAGAGATTTAACTGTCCCGACACGGGAGGTTTGCACCTGGGCTGTATGCTTGGCACAGAGGTCACACCTCACTAAGGACTAGCCCTGACTTGGGTTGTTAGCTGCAAGAGTCCAATTCTTCCCACATAGCCTCTACAGGACGCCTTCCTTGTGCCTACTGTTTTTGCCATTGAATGCATCTGAGACCATTGTCTTGGAACAATGCGTGGGTTCAGCTCCTGGATGGTGCCAAGTTCATCTCCTTCCCCAGGACTTCAGATGCCCTGTCCTCACGTCTTCTTTGCTGAGCTCACTCTTATGTTCACCTCCCTACACGACATTGGGACTCCCTGATGAAGGATCACCCAGCACTCAGTACTTCCATTTCATAACACTTATAGTTTGAATTATGCCTTGAGGAACATTTGCTAAAGCCCAGTGACCTTGTTCAGCTTTGAACCTTGCCGTGGGAAGGATCCATGTCTGACCTGGCCTGCGCACTATCCCCAGCATGGTGCCCATGAACTGGCACGAAACAGTTGTTTAGTGAATGCAAAATGGTTATAAAAGAAAACACAAAAACCAATGAATCTTATGAACAATTTAAGTAAAAACAAATGTCTTTATAGGAGGCAAAGATTATTATACTGATCAGACTCTGTCTTTTTAAAGAGTGCCTGCATGTCAGAGAGAGAGGTGAGCATTTGCAAAGTTGGCAGTTGCCACTCTTCCTTCCATCAGCTCCTCTTTTTTGTTCTCTGAATTGAATTGAATTGATAGGGAAAGATCAGAGACAGGAACACATCTGCTAGTCCTAGGAATATCACAATGCAGTGCAAGATTTGGAAGCTTCTAAGAAGCAAGCCGATCTGGAATTTACAATTTGTTCATTTCAAATGTCCATCATGCTGGTGTTTCCTAAATTGGAACATGTAAAAAGAACTCATTGTGCAGGCATATTGTTTAATACTTGATGTTTTCCATGAGCCTCGTCATGTTCAGTTACTATAATCAAGGAGAATCCTTCTAAGAAAGTCTCTGAAACTTTTGTTTCAAAAGAGAAGTCACCCACGGGGAGACTCAAGGTTCTGTCCAGCCAACAGGATGCTTTGCTGCTGTTTACTTGAAACAGACTGAGACTGCCTAAAGGATGTTAAAACCAGTTGCCAACATTAAAAAGCCTAGATTTCTAGGTTTTGTGGCAAATCAGAAGATCCAACAATGCTGGGACTGCCTTCCTTCATGTCAACATTTGGCGGGACTGGAGTCAAATTCTGCCATTAGCACAGCCAGCGTTCCAGCTCTACTGCAGCCATTGTGTCTGCTGGTTGCCAGCTGGCCCTGTGGGCTTGAAGCTTTGTGATCTCTATTTCCTGCCTTGCCCTGTTCTTATCCTTAAGAGGAGTATGTATTCCTAATTTATCTCTGAGATTAAAAACCACACACAGATAAATTCACGGAACATCTCTTTCCAATCACGGATATACACACTTTTCACTCCTGATGAGTAACTAGTCCAACCTCCCAATCTTGAGAACTGCGCTCTCCCACGTGGTAGGCACAGTTTACATTTAATTCAACTTAAATGAAGTTAAAATTCAGCTCCTCGGCCACAGTAACCACAGTCAAGTGCTCAGCAGCCATGTGTGGTTAGCAGCTACCATATTGAAGAGCTCAAACAGAAAACTCTTCCCTCGTCACAGAAAATTCTATCAGATAATGCTGCTCTAGAATATTTCTGATAAATGGAGAAGTTGGAAGAAAGAATATCACGTGGGTTTTTAGAGAATTTACTCATTGTTATGGATTGAATTGTATCCCTTCAAAAATGCAATTCCTAATCCCCAGTACCTCAGAATGTGACCTTTATGGTGAGTGGGTCTTTCTAGAAATAGTCAAGTTAAAGTGTGATTATTGGGGTGAGCCTTAATCCAATATGATTGGTGTCCTTATAAAAAAGGGGAAAAGGGAGGGAGGAATGGGAGATATCTATAATATTATCAACAATAAAAAATATACTTTTTTAAAAAGGGGGAAATTTGGACACAGAGACAGGCATAGTGGGAAGATGAGAGAAGAGACATGGAGAGAAGCTGTGGCCATCTACACGTCAAGGAGAGAGGCCTGGAACAGATACTTGGAAGCAAACAGCACAATGACACCTTGATTTTTGGACTTCTACCCTCCAAAACTGTGAGGTGACGGATTTCTTTTGTTTAAGCTACTAAATTTGTGGTACTTTGTTACACAGACTTGGCAAACTAATACACTCATAAATTGTTCATTTGTTGACTAAAACAGTGGTTCCCTAACACTTATCCAGTACTATAAATAGCAGTAGGCATATTAAGGACTATCAAGATAATTTGATCTTTCCCTGAAGAGATTTATGGTCTAATAAGGGTGATAAAAAAACAACACATTATCTAAATAACTATAAAGTAGAAAGAGATAAATGCCTTCTGGAATTTTCTGTTGTTCCTTGACATTAGCTAGAGCATTTAAGTGGATACAAGTTCTCCCATGCCCTGCTGCAAGGGCTCATTACAATGAGGTTCAATACCAAGCTCTTAAAATAAAGAGGACAATTTATTATTTATTTCAGTGGGTAAAGCAGGAAGGAGTAGTGCCCCTTCCTTCCCACCCTAATCTCCCACCTCTGGTAACAAGTCAGAAGACCCCCACATTGGCCTAACCCTTTTCTGCATGATGGGTGCAACTGGTGACAGATGTGATGTTAGTGATCTCACTCAGTTTACAACTGGCCGCTTAGTGGGTCTCCACCAACCAGCTATTCTTAGGAAGACCCCCAAATTGTATCAGCCAATCAGTAGAATGAGTACTGCAGAGGGTGTGGGTATTACTAAGGCTAAACCTTCTCAGATTCTCCTGCTCCCCAAACCTCCCGTTACCAGAAGCAATCAACTGATACTTACTGGCCCATCTCTTCCAAGATTGTTTCATCAAAATCAGGGCCTTATTTTTCATTAGTTCACTTATTTCTAAGACCAACTTTTTAGAATTAATAGCCAACTCATCACTGGCTCAACTATTTGTTTCATTTGGAAAGATGATTTACTCTCTTATCAGAGAGTGAAAGTTCATACTCTGACACTCACTTTCTCCCCTAAATTCTTCAACATAATCATAAATAATAATGTCATTTGTCTAATGAAGGTCCTTGCACCCTGCTTAGCCTCTCATTGTGGGCAGGGCCCATATAGCAGGTACTTGATGAATGTTGAATGGTTGAACTAATTAATTTTATGAACCAACAAGTTTTAATGTGAAAAGTTTTTTATTATTAATAAATTAGTTTTATAGACTACAAAAAGACTATGCCCCTTAAGAGGATGGAAAAATTGCTTCCTGCCAAAATGATCATGAAAAGCTTGGTGGAGGAAGTAGTATGTGAGTGGAATCTTTAGGGGTGAGGGGCTTATTATAAGTGGAATTGAGGGAACTGATGACATAGAACAGCATAAGCAAAGCCCTGAAGGCAGAAATGCATGAAAGAGAATTATAGTCAAGTTGGAACAGTGAACTGTAGGCCAAATTGGGAAAGAACTTTTGATTTTTTTTTCCTGTAAAGAATGAGGAGGTATTAAAAGATTTGGAGAAAGAGACTGATATGTTCAAAACTGTTTTTCAGGAAAATTAATTTGGCAGTAATGCCTGAGATTGATTGAAGTGGATGGAAATTGAAAGCAGAGAAAAGTATGCGAGAAGGATGCTCCTATGCCTCTATGTTTATATATTACTCTTTATGCAGATGCCGTGGTTCCTGTACAGTATTGACACATTCGTCTGTCAGACTGGAGAAAGCTGACTGTCATAGTGTCAAACTATGCTTTTATACTTCATGGGTTTTGTGTTTATTTCCCATCTGTGTAATGTTTTTTGTAATGTTTTTTAAAGTCTTTGGAAATTTCCATCCTGCATTGATGTGCAAGAGTTTTGCCCACTCTTCCAGTTACAGTGTTGGTGATGGGATGTCAAAGAGCAGCAATTTGAGTCCTCTCGGTCTAATTTGGTGGTTCTTAACCTGAACTTCACATTAGAATCCCACCTGGAGAGGTATTTAAAGCCCCCAAGGCCTCACACCATAACCCTGGCCAATTAAATTAGAGTCTCTGAGAGCAGAACCGAGGCATCCGTGTTTTCTAAACCTCTTCTGGTAATTCCAAGAGCAACCAAGGTTGAGAACCACTAGTCCAGACTCTCCCTTCTCTCCTGCAAAGTCCCCATCAAAAGACAAACCTTGGACATCTGTTTTTGTTTTTAAATACCATGTTGTTTTTCTTATAGTAGAAAGTCTATTACTCTGATGAGAGAAAAGATGAGGACCTGAATTAGGGTGATGGTGGAAATGAGAGAAGATGGCTTGGGTGGTATCACAGAGGCATGAGTGAAATCACAGAGGAAGAATCGGCCAAAAAGAGTTGGATTCAGGGGTGGAGAAAGGAAAGGCTTAAATCAAAGTTAGCACTGAGCTTTAGGGCCTGCCCAAAGTATGAAGCAGGATGATGAATCGGTTTTGTAGGGAAAAGATGAGCTCAGCATTGAAGAAATGGAGTTAGAGGTGTCAGCAGGACGTGAGGTGCAGATGTCACACAAGAATTAGTTGTGTATGGATGAAGCTTTGGAAAGAAGCCATGCCGGGAAATAGATTTGGGAGTCAGCCACATCAAGGTCAGTGCAAGACGTGACACTGGATGAGCTACTAAGGGGAAGGTCCTGAGAAGAGAAGAGAAGAAAACCTAGAATAAGTCCTACTCACACTTCATCATCCCAAAACCTAAAGATCATCACTTCTCTATCTGTGGTTCTTGTTACTTTCTGCTATGTCAGAACATTTCTCAAGTCACATCGATCAACCGTACGTTTACATCTCTGTCTCCCAGCTCTACATTCAACTTTGTCAAGGGCAAGACCATGAGCAATTAATCCACACATTTGCCAATGTTGAACCAATCCCCAACACATAGTTGGCCAATGAATAAATATAAAAGTGAATTAATAGACACTATGCAGCTCCAGGGCAGGGGCCGCAGTCATGCAGCCTGACAGCATCCTTCGCTTAACCTGACCTGTGACCACCATGCCATCCTATTAGTCTTTGTTCCAGCTTCACAGGGGTCATCACAACAAATAACATTAAACCTGCACGCATTGGGTATCTCTGACTGTTCTGGGAAAAACAGATTGTAATGCGAAAATTTACAAAGTCATGGTCCTTGCCTTTAAGGAGCATATGATCAAGTAGAGGAGATAGTTCACCTCCTCTGTGAAGCCGTCCTTGATACTGCCAGGCCGAGTGAGGCACTCTCTTGGATTTTGCATGTATTAATATGGTAGCTTAACACAGTTTTCTCTGATCCTTTGATAGATTTCTGTCCTTTACAGCAGATGAAACAATCCTCAAGAGAAATAAACATCATATTCATCTTTATATCCCAATGTCTAATATACCCAAGTTGGACTACCTTTGTTTTTTTCAAAATGCTATTTCTTCTGCTACAGAGCATTTGCATATGCTATTCCTTCTACCTAAAATGTTAATTCCCAATTTCATCTGGTGATGATCTACTTTATCTAAAATATTCATCCTAAATGTCATTTCCTCCAGGAAGCCTTCACAGACTCCAAGTTCACTGTAGGTTACCAGTTTCTCCAAAATTATCCATGACTCACAGTTCTTGCTTGAAAGCTTATATAGCTTCTCACCCATTCACATCTATATATATAAAAGCCTAATATGCAAATTGTCCCCTCAGGAGTTCTACTGAGAGACTGGGAGTTGGATTGCTCACTATGACGTGCGCTGAACACCTAGGGGTGCACAGAATGAAGGAAGGCCTGGCTGGCCCTGATCGCCGGCCACGCCTAGGGGCCCCACCCGTGCACAAATTTCGTGCACTGGTTCTAGTTGTATCATAAGCTTCCTGAAGATGAAGATTATGTCTGAATTTACATGAGTCTTTAGAAACAAATGTAATGCCTGTAACATATTAAACTTCCAATAGAGATTGAATGAATGAACCAACAAAGTAGGCTTTCAATATATTGGTGAATAAATTGAACATACAGATATGCAGACATTAAAAGATATAACCAAAGAACATATGGTACCGTGGATGTGAGTGATGGCTGTACACGGGACACAGGTCATGAGCACAACAGGAGTTCAGAAACAGAGCCAGTCAATGAAAAGCAATAATAACCAGTGTACAGGGCATTCCAAATGACTCAGTAGAGGTTAATAGTAATTTAAGCCATCTTCTGTACTTTTGACATCTTGCATTGTGGTCACAATTAACAGTATTATTTTCTGAGGCAATGTTTAATGAGTTTAATGATCAAACTTTTTAGAGATCAATAAATAATTATAAGTTAAGGTTTTGAAAATTATAAGCATGTTTTTAAAAACAATGTATCTAGGAGGTGCACATAATTCTTTTAAATGCTTTTGTGAATTCCATTAAGTTCACAATATAGGATGTGTTTAAGAATGGACACAGACAACAGTGTGGTGGTTGCAGGGTGGGGAGGGGTGTGGATGGAGGTATAGGAGGGTATAGGGGAGATAAATGGTGATGAGGGAAAAATAAAAAATATATATTAAAAATGAATACATGTTATAGAAATGTTTAATTTTAAAATGTTAAGTAAACAAATCCTCAAAATAAATATGATTTTGTCCAGTCGCTATCTACCTGTACCCATTATTGTTCAACTTTACGGGTCAATAATCATAGTACAATGTGTCAACTAGAGACTTGCTTGTTCATAGCTTCAAGATCATCTGGAAAACACAGCAGATTAAACCTTGACCAATCACACATAACTGTGAAATAGATGGATGGATGGATGGATGGATGGATAGACAGACAGACAGACAGACAGATAGATAGATGCAAGATAGTTAGCAAGATGAGAGACAGACATAGGTAATTCCTTTATTGCCTCTAATAGATGAGATACTGTATTATATGTCTTATAAGCTAATTTACTCTTCACTACCATGTGAAAAGAACATTGCTATTTACTTCTCGTTCATTATAATACTGGGCTCAGAAAGATTATTTAATTAACTAAATATTTCAAAACAGATAGGTAGCTGAACCAGGCTTGAACCCACAATTATCTGACTCCAGAACTTTGGAAAATTCTGTGCTGCATTGCTATGTTGTCTTTCAAGACCAAAAATCGATTATTGTTGGGATCTGCTCACATCCCCTTACCCTGAACCCAGCTGCTCTTATCAAACAAGTGATAGGGCTGCAGACCCACCCAGGCTCTGCAACCTCCAATGTGGTCTCAACATTAATCTTTAACCAGCTGAGCCCAGCCGCCCCGGATGGGCTGATGACCCAGCTATCTTGAATGACCATGTAAGGGATGACATATTCAAATAAGAATTGTCCTTGGGGAGAAACTACTACGGATTTACTCTAATCACCAAAAAGGTGAATTAATGTGATGGTTGACTCTATTTGATTTAGGCTCTCCCCTCAGTAATATCTAAATGGAGTTTCTAACTCAGGGCTTAGAAAGCATAACAGAAGGGTTGGTTGGGAGAAATCACCCCCCACACATACACACAGTTAATTATATACTGTGCACACATACTAGTACAGTATATGTAAATATATCCAGATACATGTAAATTACATAGTTATATATGAACTGAAACCCAAATACTTATATGCACTTGCATACCTGCATTTGGCATTCAACAAGGTAGGACTGAGCTGGGACTGGCCACCAGGTCACCCAGCATGGGAATCTCAAGAGGCCAGACTCCCCACATGGTATCGGGGATTCCCAGAGATGACGGCCCAGAGGCAGGAAGTGGAAACTGCCAGTTTCACTCGATTTTGTGGTTCACAGGAGTTACAGAGCCTGCCTGCGTTCAAGGAGAGGAGACAGTGGCCCCACCTGCCAAAGGAAAGGGCGCCGAGGAAAGGAGAGCCATGCTCCACGTGCCACAGCTCTCCCAAGTCTTCCGAATGTCAATTCAGCGAATGCTAGTGGAAAGGGACGGCTATGGCGTTTGAAGAGTGGCCATTTTCACTGCCTCCAGGCAGCCAAGCTTCCCCTACTGCAGGTTTCCTCAACTTCAGCCCTGTTGACATGATGGACTGCACGATTCTTTGATGGGGGAGTCTGTCCTATGCAGAATAGAATGTCTAGCAGTTTCTCTGGCCTCTACTTGCTCAATGCCAGAAGCAACCCCCCTGGTGACAACCAAAAATGTCTCCAAACATTACCAAATGTCCCCGGGAAGACAGAATCGCCCCCAGCTGAGAACCACTGCTCTATGGTGAGCACTAAACACTAAGACGCAGCAGTATAGTATCACCTTAAATCCTCATAGAGCAAAAGGTAGGTACTATCATTATTTCCACTTTGTAGAAGGGTAAACTGAGGCTTGAAGAGTGAAGTGATTATCCACATTCACTGAGCAGGAAAAAACCCAGATCTGTCTGACTGCAAAGCCTCCATTGTTTTTACCAAGCACTTAATTTCTTTTTCTATTTCAAAATGTTCCGAAGGCAAAACCCCAATCACACACCTCCAATACCACGGAGGCCCAGCTGATTCAGCGAGGGAGGCTGGCTTGATCTTAGACTGCTGCAGGCCATCTCCAGCACAGAAACCATTGATCTGCTCAAAATTAGCGGGCCCTCTGCTCCCTGCCCCGCTGTTTGCTTAGAGAGGGAATTGGAACCTCATTTGGATGGGGCCTGACTCTGGGCCCTGTGCCAGGCCTCCGCG